AAAGCTAAAGATTGACCTCCCTTACGACCCAGTCATACCACTTCTAGGCATCTACCCTGAACAACAGGAACCAATATACAAGGACACGTGCACCTCCATGTTTATTGCAGCACTGTTCGCAATAGCTAGGATATGGAAACAACCTAGGTGCCCCACCACAGATGAATGGATCCAAAAATTGTGGTATCTATACACAATGGAATATTATGCAGCCATTAGAAATGACAAAATAATGGCATTTGCAGGGAAATGGATGGAGCTAGAAGGAATCATGTTGAGCGAGGTAAGCCAAGAACGAAGAGACAAACGGTACATGGTCTCCCTCATAAGTGGATGCTAAATCCAAAAGGTTAGGTGATACGACAAAACTAACAGGACTTAAGAAACAAAGAACTCCCGCTCATCTGGTTGAACCACTACTAAATATCCTCATGCTGCTGATCACAAATATGGTATATAACATGTGAACACTGTTATATATTACAGACTGTGGTAGACAATTTGCTCCAGGGAAGTTAGAATGAACTTGTGACTTTGAAATTATGTAATCATTTAATCACAATCAAAAAAAAAAAAAAAAGAACCTCGGGGAAGGGAGGGAGGGAGGGGATGGTAGGGGGAAAACAATGGAGGGGGTAACAATGTTCAAGAGGAAGTGTACTCATAACCTCACTCATGTAACTGTAACCCTCTGTATAGTAGCTTTACAATAAAAAAAAAAAAAAAAAAAAAAAAAAGAGTGCTAATCCCAAAAAAAAAAAAAAAAAAAAAAAAGAAAGTGAACGAGGGAACAGCTTACACTAAGCAAAAGGAAAGAAACGTACACATGACCCAATTTGGAAGGAATAGTTGTACTGTCAAAGTTTGTAGAGTTCATAAACTTTATAGACCATGATATGACAATTCTCCTTGTGAAGGGTTAAAATGTGTTTGCGACTTTAGCTAAGTATCACTATCCCACAATACTGTGACATTTCTGTAATCACTTAATTTCAATAAAGAAAGTTTTAAAAATAAAGAACAGAAAGGATATGCAACCTCCTTCAGTAATGGTAAGAATTTGGAACTCTGCAATAGCATTCTTTTAACATAATTACAAGTGAGTAGACCATGAGCTTTTCCATTTACATATATTTATTTCTTTTGCAAAGTTTAAACCCTATGCATCCCATACAGTAGATAAACACTCAACAACACTATAATTTTTGTCTAAAAATAAAGAATGATAGTCTAACAGAAACTCAAAGATCAAATTAAGGAAGGGGATTAAATTAATGCTTCAATGTGTTTAAAATCACACAGAAATTCCAAATTCCATTAGCTAAAACAAGTACAGCAATGACTTTCAATTTTCTTTTGACAAGCAACTATTCTAGGAATTTATGTAAATATTCTCTCCATTCTTCTCCTCTGTACACATACTTGTTTGACACAGAAGTTCCAAAGATAAAGGTCATTTCAAGCAATGTAATCATAATATGTTTAGTTTATTCTGCAAAATTTTGAAACCTCAGTTGTGATATGATAAATAGATGACTTGATGTTTTATGACCTACAGTTTCAAAATCACTGAGCCATGGAGCAGAAAGCAAAATCAATGAAAAGAAAATCCTATTCAGGTGCCCATGGCTTAAGCCTGTAATCCTAGCTATTCAAGAGGCTGAGATCTGAGAATCATGGTTCAAAGCCAACCTAGGCAGGAAAGTCTATGAGACTCTTATCTCCAATGAATAGCCAGAAAACAGGAAGCAGCACTGTGGCTCAAGTGGCAGAGTACTAGCCTTTACAGAAAAAGCTCAGGGAAAGCACTCAGGCACTCAGGCCCTGAGTACAAGCCCCAAGCCTATCAAAACAACAACAAAAAAAAAAAAAAAGAAAGAAAGAAAGATAAAAAGGAAAAAAATAAAGGAAGAGGGAAGAAAGGAAGGAAGAAAGAAAGAAAGAAAGAAAGAAAGAAAGAAAGAAAGAAAGAAAGAAAGAAAGAAAGAAAGAAAGAAAGAAAGAAAGAAAGAAAGAAAGAAGGAAGGAAGGAAGGAAGGAAGAAGAAGGAAGGAAGAAAGAAGAAGGAAGGAAGGAAGAAAGGAAGGAAGGAAGGAAGGAAGGAAGGAAGGAAGGAAGGAAGGAAGGAAGGAAGGAAGAAAGGAAGGAAGGAAGAAACGAATGAACAAAAGAAAGAAGGAACGAATGAACAAAAGAAAGAAAGAGGAGCTGGGAAGGTGGCTCAGTGGTAGAGTACTTGTCTTGCATGCCTGAGGCCCTGGGTTCGATTCCTCAGCACCACATAAGCAAAAAAAAAAAAAAAAAAAAGAAAGAAAGAAGAAAAGACAGAAAGAAGGCAGGAAAGAGAAAAAACCCTGAAGTAAATAAAGATGTTGTTTTATAATCATTTCTCTGTGGTCATGTTAATGGCAATTCGAAGAAATCAGAAGATAAAGTGGAGCTGAGTAGTTGATTATAATTTTTTTGTGAAATGATCATTAAAAAAAAGAAATCCTTAATCCCTAGGAAATTAGCAAAGTGTCTAAATCACCACTTAAAACAGAATATTAAGGTTTGGGCTGGTTAATGTTTAAAGTATATTTCAAGACAGTATTTTCTTGAAGGCATTTTCTTCTAACTCATAACTTAGTGTCTTGTTGGAATAGAACAGTTTCAACGATTTGCTAAGACTGTCAAAATTTCACAGGGATCATTTGAGCTGGCAGTGGGGAATTTTTTGTCTTTCTTTCTTCCTTTCTTTCTTTCTTCCTTTCTTTCTTCCTTCCTTCCTTTCTTCCTTCCTTCCTTCCTTCCTTCCTTTCTTTCTTCCTTTCTTTCTTTCTTTCTTTTTTTTTTTCTTTTTTTTGCCAGTCCTGGAGCTTGAACTCAGGGCCTGAGCACTATCCTTGAGCCTCTTTGTGCTCAAGGCTATCACTCTACCACTTGAGCCAAGAGCCAATTCCAGCTTTTTCTGTATATGTGGTACTGAGGAATCCAATTCAGGGCTTCATGCATGCTAGGCAAGCACCCTACCACTAAGCCATATTCCCAGCTCCCCTTTTCCCTTTTTGTAATTTACATTGCTTATATAAATTTACAAATTAATCATTAGACATATTAAAAATTAGAACAAATGTTCTATGTAAACATACTTAGAAAGGCACCAATATGAATACATTCTATTATAAAATACTTTACAACTTTGGTGGGGATGGGGGGCTGGGAGAGTGGGAGACGGGAAGGGATGGGAAGGGGAAACAAAGGAGGAGGCAACAATGCTTGATAAGAAATGTACTCATTATCTTGCCCATGTAACCCCTCTGTATGGTATTTTCACAATAAAAATAAAAAATAAAAAAATAAATCTGCTTTGGGCTACCTAAAATAAACAATGATTTGCTCTCAGAAAATTTCAAAAACCACCAAATTTCTTCAGGGAACAATTAACTGACAGTTTCACAAAATGAATATTAACAAACTGGTATGCTACATACAGATAAGGGGGAGGGATGGAGAAAATGATGGGCAAATACATTCATATTTAATGTACATATGTGCACTTGGGGGATTGATGGGTTGAGATAAGTGCAGGAAGAAATAATAAAAGGGGTGACACAGATCAAGATGCACTGTACACATAAATTGACATGGAAAAACTGCCTTGTTCAACTATTTAAAATGAGTTTTAAAAATAAATTACAAAAGAATAAAAAAGAAAAGGTGTTGGGCTGCAGTGACTAACAACTGTAATCCTAGCTTCTCAGGAGGTTGAGATCCAGAAGACCAGCGTATGAACATGGACTATAAACAAAAGTCTGTGAGACTCCATTTCAAAAGTAACTAGGAAAAGTAGGAATAGAGGAATGGCTCAAATGGTATAGTACCAGCTGAGGAAGCAAACAGAGTAAGATTATGAAGCAGTGAACTAAGTTCAAGCTCTATATCCAGCAAAAAAAAAAGTTTCTGTGATAGCTTCCAAAAAATTATTTGTTTAGTATCTTACTAAAATTTTTCATTCTTGTTTATCATATAGAAATATACTAAGAACCAATGAGATGATATTTTGTAAGCATCCTAGAAGAAAGGTGTTAAAAAAAAAATCTACCCTACAAAAAAGTTAAGGTTATCCTAAAGATTGAAAACATCAATAATCTTTGTTCTTAGATACAATGCTTTGATAAACCAACTAAGTACATGATTGAATTAAGATCATAAGAATACAGAAAAGTTACGAGAAGGGTCTAGGACATAAATCAGTGATAGAACGGATGCTTAATGTAGGTGAGGCCCTGAATTATCTTCAAAGCATCACAAAAAACAGTGACAACAACAAAAATAAAACACCTTAAAATAATATCAGATTTTAAAACAAAAAAGCATAGAATTTTTTGAGCTAAAAGTAATTTTTTTTACTTTAAGTAGTTGTACAAAGAAGTTTCAAGTCAGATTATGAGTACAGTGAAACTTTTTTGTTGGTGGTGGTGGTAGTCAGTGGCCGTGGGGTTTGAATCTTTTTTCTTTTTTTTGAGGAGGGGGTTGTCAGTCTTGGGACTTAACCTCGGGGACTAGGTCCTGTCCCTAAATTATTTTTTTTTGTTCAAGGCTAGTACTCTTAGCCACAGCTCCACTTCTGGCTTTTGGTTATTTTGGCACTTCCCTGGAGTCTCACAGACTTTCTTGCCTTGGCTGGCTTCAAACCATGATCCTCAGATTTTAGCTTGTTGAGTAGCTAGGATTACAGACGGGCATGAACTACAGCCCTGAACTAAATACAATGCATCTTGAACAATTTAATAAATACACAGTGTTTTAAATACTATTGAGTAAACTTGCTGTCATGGATACAGCTAATAATTAGCATTTCCACAGAACACTATGCTTAGCAACCTGCTTCCATCTCACATCCTGTGACATGACTACAGTAAATCTGTTTTACTTGTATTTGTTTAATGCCTAAATAATCCCCTTTAAATCAGTATGTCTTGAAGGAGGAAGGAAAATATTCGATCTCTGCAACTCACCTTGACTGATGAACTGCTCCATGTTTTCCTTGAAGGGCTGCATGTGCTCTTCTGAAGAGACCTGGTACACCTTTCCTGCTTCCACCTCACAGGCTGAAAGGGAGACATCGTTTAGAACATCACCATGCTAAGGGAGCATCAAATCAATTGAAATCATGTTAGCCAGTGTTAGAAAATCCTTGTAGCTACCCTCATTGGCATATATGTTGGAAGCATCCAAACACCAGAACAATAAGCCTATGCTCAAGGCTTCCTTTAAGGGAAATGTGTTCAAGGGGAAAAAAAAAAATGTTTAGAATCTTTAAACACAAATTCATCACTGGGGCAGATTATTCAAAGCACTAGGCCTCAATCTCCTTATCTGTAAAGTAGGCATGAACTGGAGCCTACTGGTGGTGTACTTCAGAAGATCAAATCTGCTATAAATGTGAGACATCAGAATAGTACCTAGTCCACAGTACAGCAATAGGTAATGAGAGCTAGCATCCCGATACTCATAATTTAACTTAGTCCTTAGAACAAGACAGTAAAGGGTATTATTCCTTCTTTTACAGTTGAGAAAGTTACAGTTCAAATAAGGCAATCAAATGCTGAAAGTTTCAAAAATGAAAGCAGAATACGTATAATTGAAATTCTGATCTGATATCAAAATCAGTCCTTTTTTTCTGTGTTTGTCATCATAAATGTCTGAGGTATTGTCTATATCAAATTTGGGTTAATTAAGAAGCATTTCTGCGAATGAAGGGGTGACATTATCCCAAAAGAAATGTACTCTTTACCTGACGTAATATAATTGGAACCGCTCTGTATATCACCTTTACACTAACAATACTGTTTTAAAAGAAGCATTTCTAAGAACATTTCTGAAGAATCTCCAATATGATAACAAACTCAAAATTGAAAAGCATATGTACACACACACATTTATAAAGTATATATAATATATGAAAGAAAATCTTTGGTCAACTGCATATTTGATTCAGGAACATGTACTGTTCCCTGTAAGTCCTAAAGTAAATATTTCTCCAAGAAGTTATGATAACTTATCCTGTCCCTCATTATAAAACCATACCCCACCCCCACCTGACATTACTTTCTCTTTTTTTTTTTGGTCCGGTCGTGGGGCCTGAACTCTGGGCCTGGGCACTGTCCCTCAGCTCTTCAGCTCAAGGCTAGCGCTCTACCACTTGAACCATAGCGCCACTTCTGGGTTTTTCTTTTTTGCTTATGTGGTGCTGAGGAATCGAACCCAGGGCCTCATGCATGCAAGGCAAGCGCTCTACCACTGAGCCACCTTCCCAGCCCATGACATTACCTTCTCTCTGGATGGGTATTCTCTATCAAATATCGATGCAACTGCAGTCACGAGATTTAAGACCACCCACATGTGCCCCTCTGATCCTGTCCTTTGCCTGGGAATCCCTTGCCATGTTAATGAATCCCAATCCCTATTTCCAATCCAGGTTTCTCATCACTCCAGACTCAAACACATTCACCAAGTTCAAATCTTCACAGCCATCTACATCTTGGCTCCCTTTGTTCATGGAACCACTACCTAAGCTGAAGAACTCAAGCTAAAACAGGACTAACTCTTCATTTGCTTTCTACATTTCAATATCTTTTTGTAAAGCCACCCAAATACTCCTTCAGTTGGCCCTTTCCTCTTCATGCCTACTTTATTTTGGTACAAATGCCTTTATTTTCGTACTTGTGCTAATATAGAAACCCTTTACCTAGGTTTCCTAGCTCCCATATTCCACAGACTCGTAGGCCTTTTAAAGCCATCCATAAGCGTCTCTAGAAAACCTGATCAACTACCTAAAACTATTCGATGACTCAGCCCTCTCAGCCACATTTGGGACAGGTGAAAAGTTCCAAAGCTGGCTATAAAATAAATTTTGTACAACAGAGGCTGGTATAACCTTTGTTGTCACTGTTCTTTGATTCCAGTGTCCTGCATCTTGTATATACATTTTTCTAATTTAGGGAGAGGAAGGGAAATCACAAAATGCTGAAGTAAGGATACAGGCTGACCCAGTGTAACAATGAGATGTACAAGACACTATGTTGAAAACGAACTTTACAACTTGGGGGGGGGGAGTTGGGAAGGTGGGGAGAGAAGGGAGAGTAGGGGAAAAAAATGAGGGGGTAACAATACTTGACAGGAGATGTACTCATTACCTTACTCATGTAATTGTAACCCTGTGTACAGCATCTTTACAATAAAAATATTAAGAAAAATAGAAAAAGAGAACCATCAAACCATCTATCAACTACCTCTGATTTTTAATTCAGATCAGTGCAAATTCCTTTTTTTTTATTGTGAGAATACCATACAAAGGAGTTACAATTACATGGGCAAGATAATGAGTACATTTCTTTTTTTATTTTATTTTTATTGTGAACATACTGTACAGAGGGGTTACAATTACATGGGCAAGATAACGAGTACATTTCTTATCAAACATTGTTGCCTCCTCTTTGTTTCCCCTTCCCATCCCTTCCCATACTCCCCACCTCCTCCCACCCGATCCTCCCCCCAACCCCCACCAAAGTTGTAAAGTTCGATTTTCGACAGAACGACTTGTATTCCTTTATCTGTTTTTTCTGAATTGTTTCCCTCTTCTGATTAAAATCATTCTCTACTATCCATGTCCAAAAAAACATAATCTTATTTCATTGAACCCAGTGATCAATCTATTCAATAAAATTCAGTTCCATATTTTGTTTACTTGGTAAACTATTCCTGTATCATGACTCATTTCTAGATGTAATACCTAACTCAAGCCTTCCTGGACAATTAGGTAGAATCAAGCCTAACTTACATTCGACATTACTATTTTATAAACATTGTAAATATACTATAATGCAAGTATGTTGGGTTTCTGAAGTACATAAGTGGCAATTTTTTTAAAGACATCAAAGAAAACATCTTGGCAATAGAAGGAGCTCAGTAAGGGCCAATCTGAGTTCAACTGCCTTTAGAGAAAATATATTTGGATAAACTTTGCTGACTTAAAAAGAATCAGCCCAATAATTTATAAGCATGGGTATCATATACTTGAAACAACATACCAAGAAACTACATTTTGGTCATTGGACAGGAAGCATGGCTCAAGTAGTAGAATTGGTGCCTAGTAAATTGGAGACCTTGAACTCAAACTCTGGTACCATTTAAACTCATTATCCTCCTGGGTCAGACTCATAAGTAGTTGGGATTTTAGGTGTTCATCACTACACTCAGCGCATCGCCGGACATTTTTTTTGTCGGTCATGGGGCTTGAATTCTGGGTCTGGATGCTGTCCCTCAGCTCTTCAGCTCAAGGCTAGCACTCTACCACTTGAGCCACAGCACCACTTCTGGTTTTCTGGCAGCTTATTGTAGATAAAAAGTCTTGTGGAGATAAGGAGTCTTTCCTGTCTGGGTTGGCTTTGAACCATGATCCTCAGATCTCAGCCTCCTGAATAGCTAGGGTTACAGGCGTGAGGCACTGGCCCACAGCTTCCATTGGTATTTGAGGAATTTCTTACCATGTCTCTTCAAAATGAGTTGGTGTAAAGCTCCCATACATAATAAAATAATGTATATGTGTGTGTGTCCAGATATGCTCATAAGCCACAAAAACTTGGGGAAGTATACCAAGGGGTGGGGGGTGAGCAGGAACTATTTACCTACTAATAATAACATGATTTTGCCTAAACATGACATGATAAATATCAAATATTCTTGGCTATACATGAAAAACACAATGTTTAACCTGTGGATTGTTATTCAAATGACCTAAAAGAAACTTTACCAAGCAGAACTGCAACATACAATTTTTTAGACAACAAAAGAGAAAATATTTTCAAATGTTTCTTCAACAATACACACAGAAGAATTAGATCCATTAGGTTTAAGTCTATTGATCCTTCAAAATCACTGAGAAGTCTGTCAGCTCTCATTAAAATAAGTAAACAATTTACATTCAAGATTTGAATTTACCTTTCAAGTCTTTCTTTAGCTTTCGGAGATCTTTTTGAAAGTCTTCAAACTTCATCTGGGATGCTTGAAAAAGGTCCTGAGGTTCTGGCAGTGGGAAGACACACTGTTCTCTTCCTGCATCCTAATTACAAATGCGATGTTTGTAAACAAATTGACATCAATATAAATAAAATCTATGCAATTGCCACAATAGGAAAAACTAAGACAGAAAAACAAACACAAGAACCTCTCTCAAATCACTCAATGACGCGAATAAAAGAAGATTGTACAAATGGTCTTACCTCATCAAAATTTCGAAGGTAATATGAAACAATGTATGACAAAAGGCTCCTGCTGTTATCCTGGCAGAGAAAGATAAGAGTAAGTGACATGATTTTGAAGATTATTCAGTGTATTATGTTACCTAACATAAATTTCAATAAATCTAAATACATCCATGTATTTCAGGTGGAAAGTAAAATTTTACATTGCCTCAGTCATCATACCTAAAAAAATTAAAGACCAAATTTTCCCATTAATCCTATCTAAACTCTAAGCAGAAGCATGAAATTTAATTAAAGGTAAAAGTCTCAACTGTAAATATTTCACTGCTTTTACCATGAGGAATTTTGTTTAGCTTTCACAGTTGATTTTTAATGCTCTTAGAATGAATTCTGGTTTGCTACTTTTTTATTTTTACAATTTTTAGCATACATTAGTTGTTCAAGCAGAGTTTCACTGTGACATTTCCAAAAATGATGATATGTTCCTATGCAAGTAAACTTAGATCATGTTCATCCTCATGTACCCTCCCCTATTATTTTCTCAACCCCCAGTGGTACCCATCCCCCATCTCAGCCTGTTTTACTCTCCTGTTATTTCAATTTTTGTGTGTATTAATTATACCAAAATATTTATCAAAACAGGGACGAAACAAGATGGAAGTATTGCTACTATTTCTGTACAGCTGATATAGCTCCAAATATAAGAATGATGGAATTTCATTAGTCTTTACACTAAGAAAACAGAAAAGTATTATTTCAGGTGTGTTGAATTTATGCTTATTTATCCCATTCCCAATGATGTTTTTATTAGCATCAAGTAGTTGTAGAGGAAAGCTTCATTTTAGCATCTCTATTTTTGCACACAGTGTATCTTGTATGTCAGTCTCTTCCTCACAATGCCACTGCTTACTATAATTCATTATATCAACAACTGGGACTGAAGAAATAATACTTACTCAACTGTAAGTAAATAAGGCAATATTTTTAAAATATCTTTCATAACTCTTCAAAAATAGCTTTTCACTTCATTTCTGGCACATTAGGGATATTCATATTTAATTATCATCTATGTTTTGCTTCATCTTACCATTACGTAATTTGAATTGGAGAGAGCACCCATACACATTATGTTTACACAAAAGTCTGAGATAGAAATTAAATTCTCTGACAGTTACATCTGTTCTGCTGAGACAAATTCGAAGTCTACATGGCTCAAAGTAGCCTCCTTATTTAGTAAACTGAAAGCTAGCTTTCAGTTTAAACTAATAGAATGGTAAGCTTGCATTATTTGCCATTTTGACCGAATGCAGCAAAAAAAAAAAATCAGAAAATAATTCAATAACAGCAACTCCTTTGTACAACTCCTTAAAGAGAACAAGAGTATTTAAAAGAGATAAAATGAAATATAAATAAAAAGAAATTTGAAAAACAAAAAATGTAAATTCCTCTGTGTGTGCGTGCGTGCGTGCGTGCGTGCATGCGTGCGTGTGTGTGTGTGTGTGTGTGTGTGTGTGTGTGTGTGTGTGTGTGTGAAGTAGATCAGTGGATATGAAGTGTTTTTAGTCAGTCCTACATTGTTGTTGTCAATTGTGTTAAATTGTTTTGTAATCTGCTGAGTATTTCCCTGAAATTCACTTTTGAAACTTGGCCTCCCATGCACTTAAGTGATAAAGTATAGATTTCAGATTTGTTGAAAGGCAACATGTCTTTCATAAAGGTTGGGTAGTGTGGTGGCAAAATTTATCATCTACAGCACAAGACTGAATGAATTCTACACATCCTGAGCACGCCTAGTTTTGCCTCAGTGCTAATCTCCTTGGAACCAGGTACCCTGGAATACCAAAAGGCAATTGAATCTCAGCCAATCATAGTACTTGAACTTCAGCCAGCAGAGACAGAAAGATGACAAAATATGGCTGTATCAAGTAAATATGCCACCTGCTGCCATCCAATTGTTCTGTGTATCACTTCTTTATCTCTGGCTATAACCATTACTTGTAGCACTTGCAGTGGGACACGTTTTGAACCGTGTTTCTCCTAAAGATAGTCTTAGAGAAACAGTTAAAGAAACTTAAAGAAGCAGTTAAATGTAACTGTTAAAAAAAATCTGGGCATTTTCTCTACAAAAAGAGCAACATCTGGGCTGGGAATGTGGCTTAGTGGTAGAGTGCTTACCTAGCGTGCATGAAGCCCTGATTCCTCAGTGACCCATAAATAGAAAAAGCTAGAAGTGGCACTGTGGCTCAAATGGTAGAGTGTTAGCCTTGAGCCAAAGAAGCCCAAGGACAGTGCCCAGGCCCTGAGTTTAAGCTCCAGAACTGGCAAATAAAATAAGAGCAACACTGAAGGAAGGATAGTGCCTCTAAGAATTAAACATAAATTAAATTTAATAAGAGTAGCACCTTTTCATAATCAAGTTTGACATGAGATAGAAACATGACCATTAAAGATTTCCTTCTAAAATCATTTCAGCAAATTAAAGTCTTTCCTCTCTTCTAACCTGAAAGTTAATAAAACAACAGTACAAAGAAAAGGAATAAAACATTTCATAAAAGCCTGCTGATAGTCATGTCAAGAGAAAATTCTGACTGATATGGATAACAGCTCAGTCTAATGTTGCCCAATATTACTGAATAGTAGATATGGTTGTACTTCTCCACCATTTCTATACGACATTACATATCCCTTCTGAGATGGCAAATAAAACAATGTTTAAAAACCTTGCTTCTCACTGAGTGTGGGTGGGTCGGGAGCTACTGGCTTGTGCCTGTAATCCTAACCATCCAATAGGCTGACACTTGAGCATTTCCTTTGAAAGCCAGTTGGGGAGGAAAGTCTGTGTGACTCTTATCTCCAAATTAAGCAGCAAAAAAGCCAGAAATGGAACTGTGGTTCAAGTGGTAGAGTGTTAGCCTTGAGCAAAACAACCCTCTAGGACAATATTTATGCCTTGAATTTGAGCCCTAGGACCAGCACATAAACAAAAACAAAAATGAAAAAAAACCTTGCTTCTTGGTTCAGTATTTAACTTTTGTTCTACATTGGTCCATAATAAAATTCAATTTAATGGAATATAGAATAAGACATAAAAAACATATAATTAGTGATAATTTACTTCTTTACAATTTAGGTGGGGAAGGGAGTGTACTTGAGGAGGTGGGAGGGAAGAGATGGTAGGGGAAAACAAAGGAGGAGGCAACAATGCTTGATAAGAAATGTTCTTATTACCTTGCTCATGTAACTGTAACCTTTCTGTATGGTATTTTCACAATAAAAAACTTATTAAAAAAACAAAGTCATGCTTCAAGTTTGGCACTTTGCTGGGTAAGTGGAGATAAAAATCTTACAGACTTTACTGCCTTAGCTGACGTCGGATATCAGCACCCTGAATATCAAAGATTACAGGCCTGAGGCTCAGTACCATCTTTTATACTTTATTCACAAAAGCTTATTTGCACTCAACTTGGCCTTATTTTGAGAGTGTGGAACTTCTGGCCTCTGGTGCTACACATAGAGAATAATAAAAGAACATTCCATTCACAGCAAATTATTGGCCCACACAGCCATAAAAGGTTAAATATTAACAGGTTTGATAGAGACTGAAAAAATACTTGTTTATTAAAACACTCTACTTATTCATCAAACATAAGACTCCAAATCACTCACTTTAGCATATGTTATTATTCCTTCCCTTAACTCACAAATATTTAATGGTCTCCTTTTATGTAGCTTAGAATATAAAGACACTTTTGATCTTGCACTATAAATATTTATTTTCATGTTGCAATATTTATTATAACAAAATCTCAAACAAAATATTCTTCATTTGCCTCTCTCCTCTAGGACAAAATACTTACACTGCTCTTCACATCTTTCAGCTTTGGAAGAATGTCTAATCCGAAGCCATCTGCCTGACCCCGAGTCTTATTGCCACCATTCATGTAGTTGCCGAATGCAAGAACCAAACCCAGGACTTGCATCACCCCGGGGCCATTTTTTAATGTCTGCAAAGACCGGGAAAACATAACAAAGATTATACTCCTATATAGCATTCTTCTGAGCAATTTTTACTATATTGACAGCATGGGAACTTTGTCATATTTCATTATTAGGTATTTATATATATATATATATATATATATATTTGTGTGTGTGTGTGTGTGTGTGTGTGTGTGTGTGTGTATATATATGTCTATCTCCCAAGTATGAGATGCTATATATTTTGTGGTGGTTTCAGGGCTTGAACTAAACTGTCTTGTTCAAGGCTGGTGCTCTATCACTTGAGCCATATCTCCAGCCTGTTTTTTTGCTGGATAATCAAAGATAGAGACTCCAAGCTTTTCTGCCTTGTGCAGTCAAGATCGTCCAGATCTCAGTCTCCTGAGTGAATAGGATTACAGGTATGACTCACCAGCAGCTAGCCATTATTATGAGTATTTTCAAAGCAAAGTTAACTTTAACAGATTTCACCATCACTTGTGTCAGTTGGGAGATGCTGATGTTGTTCATGTCTGTGTCATATTTGCACAGTAAACAAGGTTATAACATGAGAACTACTATAGGTGATCACATTGCCATTGTTCTAAGTGTGCTAAGTCCCAACAATACACATTTTTTATCTAAGTTGTAGAAAATAATCCATTGTAGCAATGAAATTCCAAACATTGGTTTACCCAAAAGAGTTCATATTTACTTCTTTCAGAACACTGTTTGTGTACTCAATTTGTGTATTATTGCCTGTAAAAATGTCTTTGATAACAACTTTCCTCTTTTCAAAATGATTGATTACAACCAGAACAAAGGTACTGTGGATTTTTGACTGATGGTTCAAAATGTTAATATTGGACATGTCTACCAAACATTTCTTTGTTTTTAGAGGACTATATATCTTTTGTCAAGTCAAATGGCTGTTCCTAAATCATCTGATTGGAGGAGACATTAACTATTTGTGGTGTGCCCATTCCAAAAAGTGAAGCCGAGTAAATAATCTGCCTTCACATGGGATTTGGAACTTTGATGCCTGAGCGGGACATGAAATATGAAGAGTTTTGGCAAAAGTGGAAATGCAGCCCTTTGGAGGCCAGTGCACTCTGGTCACATTCTTTTGATGTGATCCTGAAACTCTGCATGCAAGTCTCAATATAGACTTTGATCTTGGAACTCAATTTAAAAAAGTAAACAATAAAAAATTTTAAAAAGCTACTATCTGGATAATTACTGTCACTCACACTGAATCAGTACTTCCTGGAAATAGGCCTGATTTGAAATACAAAGACGATGGAACAACATTAAGTTTCATAACTCAAATTCAATATTCTCTGTCCCAGAACCTACCTCACACAATTTCTGGAGTAATTCTAACTTGCGACGAATTGAGCAAATACTTTCTGAAAATGTGGACTGAAAGAGGATGCAAAAGACCCGCTCTGAAAAGTTGGGGATGAGCGACAGCTCATAAAGGAACCTAGGGATATAAAGGCAAGTTCAGAGAAAAAGAATATAATTCATATAGACAGACGTTTACTCTTGTCTAATTCATGACAATTACATCCTCAAGACATGGTAATTTCTGCATGCAAAGGGTCCACTCCTAGCCTGAATTTCCCTCACAGGCCCAGAAGGCAGCTTACTGTTCAGGTTTGTCCAGAGACTTGGCAGTTTCCTTGTCTTTAGAAGATCGGCCATGCTTTTCAATTTTTTCCAGTTCATCTGACTGAGCTCTCTGGAAAAATAATAGCCAAGTATTTTTTAAATCTAGTCAACTTTATCCTTTAGAGAATGATAATTTCATACAGAGGAAAAAAATCTATATTTTCTATTTCTTAGCATCTGTAGTAAAGCTTGACTTAACTTGAGGCATCATAAAGTGTAAATATACTTAATAAAAAACAGGTCATTCTCAATTCTCCCAAATAATGTTAGTGACTATTAGTAATCTGCAAAACATTAATTCACTGAAGTGTGTGCTAAACAATGGTGCTCTTTTTGGGTTTCTGTTTTTGTTGTTTTTCTTAATTTTATTTTATTGTAAAGGTGATGTACAGAGGGGTTACAGTTGCATAAGTAAGGTAATGAGTACATTTCTTTTCAAACAGTGTTATCCCCTCCCTCATTTTCTGCTGCCCTTCAATAGTGCAGTAATAATGCAACTGTGCACTTTGAATTGCAAAGTACTTTCTAGAGAGCCACCATTTCCTTTTAATGTAGTAGCTCTTTCTTAGAACTTTGGATGTAATTTGATCAGAAAGCTCTTATAAATTATTTAGTTCTTTCAATCAGTACATATTGTTTTTGGTATTTGAGACAGGGGAAAGTACATTTAATGTAATAAGACAAAGAATATATTTTGTTTGCTCTGGTCCTGGGCACCGTCCGGGAGCTCTTTTGCTCAGGGCTGGCACTGTACCACTTGAGACAAAGCTCCACTTTCAGCGTTTTTTGTGTTTAATTGAAGATAAGAGTGTCTTGGATTTTCCTGCCCACACTGGCTTCAAGCGGTGATCATCAGATCTCAGCCTCTGAAGTAGCTAGGATTACAGCTGTAAATCAGTGGTGATTGGCACTGATCCTTATTCAGAACTTGCTTTTCTTAAAATGAAAATACATTCAACAGAGCGCCGGTGGCTCACCCCTGTATTCCTAGCTACTCGAGAGGCTGAGATCTGAGGATCATGGTTCAAAGCTAGGGCAGGCAGAAAAGTCCGTGAGAAAAGTGCGGAAGTGGCACTGTGGCTCAAGTGGTAGAGTGTTAGCCTTGAGCTGAAGAGTACAGGGACAGCGCCCAGGCCCAGAGTTCAAGCCCCACAACCGACAAAAAAAATAAAGAAAGAATACATTCAGCCAGCATCTGGTGGCTCAGGCCTCTTCTCCTGGGCACTCAGGTGGCTGAGATCTGAGGAATATGGTTCAAAATCAACCTTGGCAGGAAAATCCACAAGCCTCTAATCTCCAACTAACTACAAAAACAAAAACAAATCAGAAATGATGCTTTGGCTCAAAATGGTAGAGCACTAGCCTTGAGCGGAAAAGGTCAGGGCCAGCGCAGCGCCCAGGCCTTAGTTCAAAACCCAAGGATGTCACACGCATACACACACACACACACACCTTTCAGCATTATTTTCCTTCTTTTTATTTAACCATCTGTGATAACAAACTAAAAGTGTTGTCTGTCGAACTTTGCTCTTTGGCAGTATTATGGGTTCAACTTGAGGCCTTGCACTTGGTTATGTAAATGATGATATACCAATGACCCAAGGACCTCCCACTAGGCTCCACTTCTTAACTTCCCACAACTCCCACAGGGCACCAAACTTCCAATACATAAATATTTGGGACACAGTCAAACCATATTCCACTGCATTATCAATGAGCTAGCCGCCACCAAACTACCACTCCACAAGAAAGCATAGGGTCCTATAAGCTATCTTAATGCCATGCTTCTTTGCCTGATGTTACAATATTGTTGATTCATAAATGCGATATGAATGGCCAACAGCAACTCAATTTATGCTAGAAAAATGCCTAACACTGAGATTTCCCCCTACAGGCATATCACTGCTCCTCTTTTTAAGAACCCTTGATATCACTTCAACACGCTTCTTGGATCCAGTTTAGTCAGAGGGCTCACTCAGAGAGCACACATGAAACCATCTGGAACCATTCAACTTCTTAAATTCAGTGAAATACAGACATATTAGGAGTTCTCCATCCTCATTAAGAGAACTACTTACTCCTTTAAGAAATTTATTTCCCACTTAAATAAACCATGTGCAATAGGGAAGGCAACACTGATGATCTTATCAAGCATAATACATCAAAATACCAGTTTTAATAATAACCCAGGTTCTTAATATTTAAATAATCACATTTGCTACCATTATGAGATGACAAACTCTTTTAATTTCCATACACAGACAAAACTGAAAGTCTTCAAATAAACTATAATATTCCTAGCCTTAAGTATATTCTTGTAATGACAGCAAAAGTAAAAATGTTACAGATGGTCTAGTGAACACTAATGGTATCACGTTGGCAAAATTTATTATGTTTGCTAGCCAAGTGCACCATTTCCATGAACCCTGCCTGTCATCATGGAAAATCACTGGGAAATGTTGAGGGGATATGTGTCAGGATACATAGCCCTCCTTGTAAAGCTGGATGTAATGGAAGACTAGATGTGCAACAAATACTTTCTGAACTCCACTCACCTAAAAGGTTTGTTAATATTGCCAAGGAAAGAACAAGAAATACATCACAAAAGAACAAAACTAATACAAGGCCTATAACTGGCAGAGAGATGGGGAATTGATCAACAATTCCATAGCTTTAAATGTTTAAGCCATAGCTTCAAATGTTACATTGCTTGGTGTTGCATCTGTTTTTGCACAGAAGGTTAGCATTTGAACTGTTACATAGATAAAAATTCCATGCATATTTTATGTGCCTAACAAAAGTATACTATTCTCCTTTAAGAAGTGAGCATTAAGCACCCAGCGTACGTCCTAGCAGTGTACAAGTGCAAATAGATATATTAGAAAATAAAGCATGTATACTGTTGCATACAGTAACTTTCAGAATATTGACATACATTATTTTATATATATTCTTCTGATATTTCACTACTCTGTACTATAGTTTAATATGCATATTCATATGCACAACACTTTCTATATGACAGAAACCACTAGGCTTGGAGAAGAAAACAAATATTTCAATTTTATCAAGAGCTCCTCATTTTGGAGAACCTTATTTTGAGAGAAAAAGCCATTTTTAACCACTATATTCAAGATGATAATAAAGACAGGGAAAAGGATTCATCTACTTCATTTGTTCTTCTGGCTCAATCCTAAATAATTACCTAATTAAATGTATCACATAATCTTATAAATCATCATTTCTACTTTATATTTTTATGCAGAATGCAAATTGTTTGTTTCATATATGTATGTATAGGTATTGTTGAGACAGAGAGAGAAAAAAAAATTTTTTTTTTTTGTGGTCTGGTCATGGGGCCTGAACTCTGGGCCTGGGCGCTGTCCCTCAGCTCTTCAGCTCAAGGCTAGCGCCCTACCACTTGAGCCACAGCGCCACTTCCGGCTTTTTTTTTTTGATTTTTGCTTATGTGGTGCTGAGGAATTGAACCCAGGGCCTCAGGCATGCAAGGCAAGCGCTCTACCACTGAGCCACCTTCCCAGCCCCAGAGAGAGAAAATTTTACGCATTGATTTCAGTATCGTGAATGATATATGGTGCACATTTGTTGAGAAAAGGAAATACTAGAGGAGTGACGCTGAGAGCTCATTGCGTGGGCTAGGATAATGACTGGTGTTTCTGTAAGTAGCTCATTTATTAAAGACCTCCATGAAGGACAGGGTAAGAGGCAATGCTGGTAAACTAAAGAGCAAATGCTAAAGGTGAAATGACATAGCAAATGTTAAGGAATTAGTTTCTCCAGCATATTCAAACAAGATGAGTGGGTGGGTAGGGAAGAAAGAAAAGGTCAGGAGCAGGAAGAAGTGTCAAGAGATCTACAAATAACCTCTCTGTCACTGACATATAAAGAAGATGTTAATTTGGTGTGTAAATAGATAAGCACTAGGGAAAATGGGTAAAGCATCAATCCAACATTTCAACAACAGTAGTTTACTTGTAGTAAAGGATGCTGAAAATGCTTGTCATTTTCATAAGCTATAGTCCTTATTTTTTTCCCCAAATGTAAAAGTAATAGCTGATCCTCAAATTAACTTCAGAGGAGATCTGTTGACAGCAACTTTCTTTCAAAGAGCAATATCATCACTAAAATTCGAATTCAAAACCTGTGGTCTAAGTTGGGTTCTGGTGGCTCATGTCTGTAATTTCCACTCCTCAGGAGGCTGAGATCTGAGGATAGTGGTTTGAAGCCAGCCTGGTCAGAAAAGCCCACAAGACTTTTATCTCCAATGTACCAAGAAAAAGCTAAAAGTAGAGCTGTGGCTCAAGTGGTAGAGTACTAGCCTTGAGCAAAGAAAGCTCAGGTGCAGCTCCCAGGCCCCATGACATAAGAAAGAAAGAAGGAAAGAAGGAAGGAAGGAAAGGAAGGAGGGAAGGAAGGAAGGAAGGAAGGAAGGAAGGAAGGAAGGAAGGAAGGAAGGAAGGGAGGGAAGGAGGGAGGGAAGGAGGGAGAGAGGGAAGGAGGGAGGGAGGGAGGGAGGGAGGGAGGATAACAAAAGTCCTGTGTTCTAAATATAAAAAAGTTGTGTACATTCACTTGTTAAATATTTCAAAGGAGTTACTATGTGTTGGGGAGACAAAAATGAGAAAGAAGAATTTCTATGAGATTGGAGGAGAAGAGAATAATTAAATGATTATACGTGGAGTGTCTAGGCTGACAAGCACTCAAATGATAAGGAACATTTCCAATGAGAGTCAGTAATAAGAAATTTAACACAAGGAAAGAAGAGAGGGGGGATTGGGAAAGGACAGAACTCAAAATAGTAAAATACCAGACCATATAAAACAAATAAGAAACAAATAAGCAAAGCCCCTCAAAATGGGCATATTTAAAATAGCCAAAATCAGTGAAAAAGAAATGCTCAGAGTAACTACCTGCAAAAAGTAAATATTCCAAAGACCACAAGCCAACAATGAGCATTATGCTCACTGCAACTATAAGTTGACCTTGGAAGACAATGGATCAAAATTAAATATATTTAAACAAAAGTAAGAACATAAAGGATTGATCCCT